AATGCAAAAAAAGAAGATAAAAATTGTCTTTGAAGGACAATAACTCCTATAAGGGGTCATTTGAGGATTTCCTCTTATTTGTAGTTCTTATTGATTGTGCTGAACATTTTTGATGTCTAGTTCTTCCCTATCGCCAGTTTCTAGGGAAATGAAAAAGAAACGGACAAGTCCTACAAATGATCAATTGACAATTTCGGTAATGATGACTTATAGATCTTATTGTGCTACATGTAATTAGTTTCTCTCTATCATAGTTTTTGCAACAACAAAAAAGTCTTTCAAGGGTAATTACTCCTAGAAAGGACAATTGACAAATTGGCCATCTTGACTGATCGTAATGTTTTGGTCTAAAATAATCTATGTAAAGTTTTATTCTATCTATAATATTTGTAAAGATAGTGACCAAACAATTCTGCAAAGAAGACATTTCAGTGGCAATAACTCCAAAAAATAGATAGACATTGACCTGATGATCATGTTTACCATTGTCAATCTTGCTTTAACTGTTTTAGTTTTTGGTATAAGCCAACAACTGCGGCCCTCAAACCCATTCCCCCTATGGTCTATTTAGTTTTGGCAACTATGGTTATGTTTGCTCAAGTATTTTTATAGTAATATCTTACTATACAAATCCTTGGTTTGCTGATAAATGAAATAGGATTTTATTATTTTGGGAAAAATAGAATTCTTCAGTATTCAGGACATTTTGGAAATATTTGACCAAGCTGTTTCAGAGAAGATTCTACGATAGATGACGATGGACGTCAAGTGATGACAATAGCTCAATTGGTCTTTTGTGAAACTTCACAAACTAATTAGTTTTTATACTTTAGTGTCCAACTCGTGAGCCAGGCCCTTCCCAAATGACATTTGAAGTTTGTTCTAATGCTTTGCTGGAAAAACTGTCCCTGGTTAGTGGAACAGTTGGAGGCAGACAAAAATGTTTAACTCTACCACATTCTTTTCAACATATCCCATGTCAGGAGCCTGTAATTCTGTGGTTTTCTGCTTTATATCATTTTGACGAGTTAAGCCCTTTTCAAATGATATTTATAATATTTTGTTCTTATGTTGTACTGTTAAACCACTGTTTCAGGTTAGCAGGAGGGTTAGGGCTAGCAAACTAATTTTACCCTGCTACTTTCTGTATGTGCCTGTCGTAAGTCAGGAGCCTGTTATACAGTGGTTGTCCTTGGTTCATGTTTGTCATATTTTATTTGTTATAAATTAGGCTGAATTTTTCTCAATTGACTTGTTTCATATATGTCATGTCCGTGCTTATCACAGCAGACTAAAAGGGTATGACCTTTTTTCATTGTTGAAGGCTGTATGATTTCCTATAAATGTTTTCATCTATTTCATTTGAACTTTGGTGGATAAGTAGTCACAATTGGATTCATACCACATCTTATTTTTATCATAATTAAATGAGGATTAAGGAACTTGAATTTGGTGTAAATGGGACCAAAGTTAAATTGAAAACACATCACAAGGTATAGCTGACTCATATAAACCCTGAAACCAAATTTCAGTAATCCTTGTAATATAGTTCCTTAGAAAGATGCAACAAAAAATATTCATGGGACAGATGGACGGATGGACAGACAGACGGAGGTAAAACAGTATACCCCCACTTATTTTAAAAGCAGGGTTATTAAACTAGAGGCTCTCAAGAGCCTGTGTCGCTCACCTGTATTTACTGATGCTTTGGAAATCATGTAAAATAAGGTTAAAATCATAATTAATAGTATTAGATATTAGATATTATAATGATATCTAAGATAATAACAAAAAACTGCAAAATTTTTGTAAAATTACTAACTCAGGGGCAGCAACCCAACAACAGGTTGTCGGATTCGTCTGAAAATTTCAGGGCAGATAAATCTAATTCTGATGAACATTTTTGCCACCTGTCAGATTTGCTCTAAAAGCTTTAGTTTCAGAGATATAAACCAAAAACTGCATTTTACCCCTATGTTCTATTTTTAACCAAGTCGGCCATGATGGTTGGAAGGCGGGGTCATCGGACAAATTTTTTAAACTAGATACCCTAATAATGATTATGGCCAAGTATGGTTAAATTTGTCTCAGTAGTTTCAGAGAAGAAGATTTTTGTAAGAGATTACAAAAATTTACAAAAAATTGTTAAAAATTGACTATTAAGGGCAATAACTCCTAAAGGGGTCGACTGACAATTTTGGTCATGACAACTTATTTGTAGATCTTACTTTGCAGAACATTATTGCTGTTTACAGTTTATCTCTATCTATAATAATATTCAAGATAATAACCAAAAACTGCAAAATTTCCTTAAAATTAACAATTCAGGGGCAGCAACCCAACAACAGGTTGTCAGATTTGTCTGAAAATTTCGAGGCAGATAGATCTTGACCTGATAATCAGTTTTACCCTATGTCAGATTTACTCTAAATGCTTTGGTTTCAGAGATATAAGCCAAAATCTACATTTTACCCCTATGTTCTATTTTTAGCCATGGCGGCCATCTTGGTTGGTTGGCGGGGTCATCGGACACATTTTTAAACTAGATACTTGAATGATGATTGTGTTTAAGTTTGGGTGCATTTGGCCCAGTAGTTTCAGAGGAGAAGATTTTTGTAAAAGTTTACGGACAGGACGCAAAGTGATGAGAAAAGCTCACTTGACCTTTCAGGTCAGGTGAGCTAAAAACAAACAAATATATCATATCATTTCTAATAATTTTTACATTGAAACTTTAACAACTAAAAAATTACAACTAGGAAACTAAAATTGATACTATAACTGTTAACTTATTTCATTGCATAAATATATAGGCTTTTTAATTCAATTTTAGTCTTTCAGATTACATTCCTGGCATGTAATTTATTTCCTTACAACAGATAGATGACCTTTACCTGAAAATATTAACTTATCACAGCCATGTGCTCTCTGGAAGTAGTATAAAACAACATTCATTCCAATGATTTACAATCAAAATCACACTTATATATATATCGGATTACTCTTGTCCATGTTTTATGAAAAATTTACAAAATGAATGTACTGCTCTTTTGAAATGTGAAAGTATTGATTCTCTGAATATTTTTCAGGCAACTTATATCATGTTGACATATTGGACAGCAAAATAAGAAAAGAAAAAAGACTAAAACCACCACAAACTTTAAGTTGGACATCAGAACCACAACTATACACAAAATTGGCAGCCTGCCTGAATTTTGATAGTCAAGAATTAAATTGGTTTATAACAGTGTAATAAATCATGTTACATCCTTGTATATTCTGTTAAGAAAATTAATTACCAATATTTTATTTACATACATTGTATGGTAAACAAGAGTGCACATGCTGAAATGTCTCGCCTTCTTTACTAATCATTGATATTATGTTGATAGTCCTAAATATAAAGCTTTACTACAACTATCACATAAACTTAACATGATCCGAGAAAATGAGGTCAAGGTCATATAAACCAAACAAGAAATACATGTACACCTTACAATCATTCAATACACTAAATATGGTTGACCTATTGCTTATAGTTTATCTAAGAAACAGACTTAACAATAAAACTAAACATTGACCAATGAACCATGAAAATGAGGTCCAGGTCATATGAACCATGCCGGACAGACATGTACATCATAATTCTTCCATACAACAAACGAACAAATAAAGTTGACCTATTACTTATAGTTTAAGAAAAACAGACCAAAACACAAAAACTTAACACTGAGCAATGAACCCTGAAAATGAGGTCAAGGTAAAATAAAACCTGAGAGACTGACATGTACATCATAAAATATGTCCATACACCATATATAGTTGACCTATTGCTTATAGTATTAGAAAAAAAGTCAAAAACTCAAAAACTTAACTCTGCATGACCACTGAACCATGAAAATGAGGTCAAGGTCAGATGACACCTGCCAGCTAGATATGTACCCCTTACAATCATTCCATACACCAAATGTAGTAGACCTATTGCATACAGTATAAGAAAAACGGACCAAAACACAAAAACTTATCTATAACCACTGAACCATGAAAATGAGGTCAAGGTCAGATGACACCTGCCAGTTGGACATGTACACCCAGTCTTCACGATGAACTGCTAAATCTGCAGGCCCGGAGCTCAATTTTTGAAAATTTTTAGTTAGATTCTGTCGGCTTGTAGATATGATTTTTACAGGCCCAAGAGCAATTTTACAAGCCTGGGCTGCCTGGGCTGCCTGGGCTGCCACTCAGCGTGAAGACTGTACACCTTACAGTCCTTCCATACACCGAATATACAAGACCTATTGCTTATAGTAACTGAGATATGGACTTGACCACAAAAACTTAACCTTGTTCACTGATCCATGAAATGAGGTAGAGGTCATGTGAAAACTGTATGACAGGCATGAGGACCTTGCAAGGTACGCACATACCAAATATAGTTATCCTATTACTCATAATAAGAGAAATTAACATTACAAAAAATCTTAACTATTATTTCAAGTAGTCACTGAACCATGAAAATGAGGTCAAGGACAATGGACATGTGACAGACGGAAACTTAGTAACATGAGGCATCTAAATACAAAGTATGAAGCATCCAGGTCTTTCACCTTCTAAAATATAAAGCTTTTAAGAAGTTAGCTAATGCCGCCGTAGTAGCCTCCGAAGGATCACTATCCCTAAGTCGAGCTTTCTGCGACAAAAGTCGCAGGATCGACAAAATTAAAGAACAGTTAAAAATATTGATTACTCCTAGATGAAATGTAAGAAATTATCTCCCCTTTTCTCTTCTGCAGAGGAAATTTTTTAATGCACTTTTTTGTTTAAAAAATTCACCTTAGATTTATCATATTTTTCAATAGAAAAATTATTCTCATTACATAAATACAAAACATATATATACCAAATTTATTTAATTTTATATGCACAGCTTTTTAGTTCATACATGTATTAGCAAGGATTTGTATAGCAAGATCTTACTATAAAAAATCGTTGATATTTATTGATAAACAAATCATGGAATAACTGAGTTATGAAAAGTACATGGTTAACATGGTTTAACCTTTAGAGTCCTTGATAATTGCAATATCAAGTTCTTTGCAAATTATACACAAAAAATCAGTCATTTTGTTGTAAGTCAAGAATGTTTAGGTCAATAAATCTGGATATATAAATGTATTTTCATGATTTTACTGGTGATCAAATATTTCATTGCAGCTAATGTATAAGTATTTTGACATAATAAACACAAGATAATCATTTATGTAGCTGTTGAAAACCATGTCCAGTCAGGTCAAATCAATGAATTAATACAAGAACAATATTGTCAATAATACACACCAAAAAGTACTAGCTGAAAAACATTTTAACATTTTTAATTCAGGTCAAATCTTACAAGTTTATCTATATCTATGTCTAAAGGAATCCAACAAAAGAATTCAGGATCCTAATTTTCTTTTCAGGTACTTTTGGCACAGGATCAATCTCTCTTTTCAACCCTTTATTTACAGGTTCAGTAATTCTTTTGGTGACCAACACTTTCTTTTCATCCTTCCCAGAAGTTTTATTTCCATTTTGGTCCTTTGGCAAATTTTCTTTGTTTTCGACATTCCCATTCATGTCATTTCCTAATGTTTTATTCCCATTTTGGTCTTTTGGCAAATTTTTGTTGTTTTTGTTATTCCCATTCTCATCATTTCCTGATGTTTCAGTCTGATTTTCAACTTCTGTCGTAACGAAACTGACATCATCTTCATCGTCATCCCCTCCTTTACAAATATTTATCCACGTTTCAAGAGAATCGTCTGCGTTTTCCTGATCGTCCTCGCTAAGAGACCTGTAGCCCTCCATTAAATCCTCAATATCAACATCTTCCACATTATCTCTATTGTCATTGAAAAATTCTTCAAATGCATCTCCCCAAAAACAGTCAAAATGGTACCATTCTGTCCAAGGCCAGGTATCATGAACTACACCAATTCTTAAGTCACCTGTGAAAAAAAATTTGTTTAAATTACTGCATTATAATATATATAAATACTGGTTGTGTATCAGTTAGATGATAAAACAAAGAGTTGTCCTGTTGAGATTCCAATACTTGAAGTCCCACCTTTGCCCATTACTGTGGATTCAATTATTTTGGCAAAATGAGGAAAAACTATTTTTCATAGATATTAATTTGGTTACTGTATGCGTTTTTTTCAAAAGTCTGCATGTTAGTTTATAGACATCATTGCATAGAACTCAATATCAAAAATCTTCTTTCATTGTTTTTGTCATTACCACACTGCCTGGTATTATACATTGTATTCTTGGGAGGGTTGAGATGTCACTATAAACATGATTAACCCCAACGCATTTTTCCGCCTGTCCCAACTCAAGAGCCTCTGTCCTCTTTATTTTAGTCTTGTATTTTTTTTAAAATCTAGTGCAATTATTTGTTTAGGGTTTAGTGTGACATCAATTTTCACTGAACTATAAAATTGAGAAATGGAAAATGGAAATGGGGAAGATGTCAAAGAGTACATATTTTTGTTTAGAGGCCAGTTGAAGACCGCCTCTAGGCGTGTGATTTTCTTGTTGAGTTGAAGACCCATTGGTGGCCTTGGGCTGTTTTCTGCTCTTTGGTCAGGTTGTTGTCTCTTTGACACATTCCCCATTTCCTTTCTCAATTTTATTGTACTGTCTTGTTTGTATTTATCTGATAATGATTGCATCTTTGTTATTGTACCTGAGGGACCTTAATTATTGGAAAAAACACATATTGTAATGTACTGTATGGTAAAAAAAATGTGTACATGTATACAAAATGTAGGTAATATTAGGAATTCCTTTACCATGTTTACCCGCAAAATCCATGAAAATTGTTACCCCGCAAAAAATAATGAGAATCACTACTTAAATCATGAATGCAAGTTTTTATTGTTGTCAACCTAATTAATTTAATTTAAACATCATGAACATGGCAAAAATTTCTGAACTTACAGTATCATAGGCGGATCCAGAGGAGGGGGGGCCTGGGCCCCCCTTTTGTGGGAAAAATTTGGTTGATTATATAGGGAATCACTGAAGCATGACTGGAGCAGGCCCCCCTTTAGGTCAGTCAGCGGGCCCCCCTAATGAAAATTTCTGGATCCGCCACTGAGTATACATGGTATATAGTGTTCATAAAAGTATGCATAGTCTCTGTGCATATGAATTCACAGTTCTAATGATCAGGGGTTTTCCAGAGATAATACACCTTATCGCTATTGCCGGCTGACCCGAGAATCTGTACGTCCCGCTTGAACTTTTGACGTCATACAACAATCACTTTTCCATTGTGGCGTCAGATATTTTGTATTGTAACATCAAAATTTTACTGGAACCTGTGTGATGTCCAGTAATGGCGGACAAATAGTGATAAGGTGTATTACAAGTTGATGAGCCAAATGCCAATCAAAAGAAATCCTATGGGCCCTTAAAGTAAAGCCGGGGCACAGCCCCTGTAGGAGGGCCAGTCTGAAAATGATTTCAATAACATTTTCATGTTGAAGTTCCAATTTGCAGGGACTAAACTTATAAGGGAGCAACCATTCAACTTAAAAAAGGGGGGGGGGGGGGGTTCTGATCATGTTAAGTTTTTCGACGCTATCTGATCAAATTATTTAACACTTTAAGGTATGGGGGTATCATGGATTCAGAATAATTCTTTTGTCCTCTACTTGACCACAATATTTTTGTTCATCAAATTTGGGATAAGAATGTGAAGTAAAGACCCACCTCCCCCCCCCCCCCCCCCTTTTTGAAGTTAAATTTTCGCTCCCAAAGAACAATATAAAATGGTGTGGCCGAATCGATTAAGGCCGGAACGACTGTGACCAGCCGAACTCAGTACTATTTTAAAACTAAACTTGAAAATGTTCAAATTAAAGTACCTTCAGCTATCTTAGAACAACCCAGTATTGATTTACACTGTGATCTACTTGATCGGGCATACTCGATCTTCAACAAATGTTGATTTCTATTTACATTCATAAGATGCATATTCCAGAACAAAGAGCAAGCCATGGTGTCAAACTATCATCTGCAGCAGATGTGAATTATAGGGTTGGCGGGAAATGTGGTTATCTCCCCTGAAAAAAAAAAACCATTTGAGTTCGAGTTCGGGTTAGTCTGGGATTCTGACACAATATTCTCAATACCGTAAGCGGACTTCCGGTTCGAATATAGCTTATATTTGAATTGCAAAATCGAAAATATTTCATCAGGATTCCAGGTTAGAGTTCGGGTTAGAAATTGAGTCCAAGTAAATGTTTGAAACAAGTTTGTTTTAGAGTTTAACATGTTTAAACTTATCTTAAATTTGTTCAGAATATGATTATGAAAATTTTACCATTTATCCATCATTACAGTTATATCAAGGATTTGTATATGGTAGTTTAATACTTTACACTAATCCTTGGTTATATATGAAATGTTATGAGGGGCGTAAAAGGGGGGGGGGGGGGTATCTGCACGGAAGAACGCGAAATTGAAAATTGCCATTTCACGTTGAACGAACAATTAAAAATTTCTTGCACGTCAGTGATCTTTTCACCGATTTCACAAAACACGGTGAATAACGAACCTTTTTCACGGCTGCACGTGAAATAAAAATGGCAAAACACGTTGCACGAAAATAACCCTTTTTGATAAATGCAAGATATTAAGAATCGCTAACTTTAGCATAATAAATCTAATAAAACAGCACACACATCAGAATAAGTACTACATTCACTAGCCATTGAAACTGGGAGATACAGTAAACCAAAAGCTTTAGAAACAAAAGATTCCGTATGCAAATCTTGCGGAGATAAAGTAGAAGATGAAGTGCATTTCCTTTTTTGGTGTCTCCTATATAAAAGCCTTCGGGAGAAGTTTGATCTGGGACTATTATACTATAGTCCCAGGTTTGATATATTATATTTTCCAATTTTTTTTTAAAGATGATGATATCAAATCAGTAATATATTTACCTAATCCAATCCAAATAATTTGGCTAATGACAAACAAATACAAAATTATTCAGTGAGACAAGCTTTCGAAGAACTAGATAATGCTTAGTGTCAGTTGCTACAACTTGATCTACCATAAATTATGGAAGTCAGACTGTACTATACAAAAAAAACACACTTTGAGTATAATATATGTCATGTGTGTACAAGTTCTCATTTTATACAAATTATAACTAATTACAAAAAATAATTGTACAAAATTAATTATAATTTTTATGTAACTGTATACAAATTATAATTTGTCCAAAAATGCACTGATATTGTTGTAATCTGGCTGTGACCATTGAGGGAGAGCACCATTTTGTATCTTTTAGAAGTTCTTCCATAAGCATGCATAGTAAGCTATAAAAGGCATAGAAATGACAAGTATAAATATATGATTCACAGCAACAAACAACAACCGTGCACTGAATCATTTGTGTGAATTACAGGCTCCTGACTTGGGATAGGCAAATACAGAATGTTGCAGTGTTAAACGTGTTTCCTGGCGTCAACCCTCGATTTTTATTACATATAACCTGGTCAATGACGTCACAAACAGTACAAAATAAGTACAAACTATAAAAAAAAATCAAGCTTTAACTCACAAGATGCACAAAAATTAAAACATAAAACCTTAACAAAAACACAAAATCTAGATCTGAGTGACCTGGCACGGTTAATATATCATTTCCCAGGAGAGACTCATGCAGTACTTGCAGTTCAAATTTTCCCCAATGAAACCTACAGAATTCAATCTAATTAAAATTAAATCTCCGCACTTGCTCCTCGTTGTTTATATGTCGCGCGTGGGAGCCACGCGTGCGGAGATTTAATTTTAATTAGATTGTACAGAATTAGACTTATAACCGGGTTTGTACTAGCATGAGTAACACATACATGTGATGGACTGTGAAACTCAGATCAGGAGATTGGGAAATTTTGGTCAGGAGATTAGGACTCAGATCAGGAGGTTTTTAATCGACATAAATTTTGTCGTAAATGTAACCCTGTGCTGTAAAAATTGTCTTTTAAAGTGTGTTTTCTTCAACTTTCCATCTGAATGTATTATGTTTATAGTACCCTTGTACTAATAAAGATTCTCTATCTTTATTAAATTTTTTAATCCATATCTTTTTTATCATTATTTTATAGAGCAATCTTTGCATTCTGAGCATTTGTTTAACTATCTGCAATTGCAATTAGTTTTTATTTGCATACTCACAAACACATTTAAACTAGAGGCAAAGGATTTAGATATGTAGTTGTTATATAAATTTCAATTTAAGCCTTGAAAGGAAGTATAGAACCCTCAAATAATTTTCAAATTATTATATTTTTATTTGTCCTAAGACATTTAAAATCATTTAATTACCATCATTTTATAATTATTTGTTCAATTTATATTTTATTTATATTCTTTTAAAAATTTACATTATTTAAAGGAATAAACTTGAGATGGTTCAACGTCGGGCTGCTAGGTATGCCTGTAATCGTTATCACAACACCAGTAGCGTTACAGACATGCTCAATACTCTAAATTGGCCTACCTTACAACAACGCAGACTTAAAACTAGACTTATAATGTTCTATAAAATTGTTCACCATATTGTCGCTGTACCATCAGAATTACTCATACCAACAGACAATAGAACCCGGCAAATTCATCCACAAACTTACAGAAACCTACTTACATTAAAGACTGCTACAAATATTCATTTTTTCCGTTTACTATTACACAATGGAATGTACTACCTCCAAAGGTAGTACTTTCTCCCACTCTAAATATATTTAGAGAACAGTTGACACCTACTGTTCTCTACAATATAGAACAGTAAACCTAGTAGTTATGTATATAGTTTTAACCACATGTCATGTTAGTATTTGTTTATTTTTGGCACTATTCTTTTGTAAATACTTATTTATTATTATCCTACGCATGCGCAACAGTTAGTAATCATCAAAATCTGATGGATAACTGGATACCATAAGAAGAAGAAGGAAAGTAACTTAAAACAGGATAAATCAATGGAAGTAACCCAATAAATACACAAAGTTTTTATTACACAACGGCAGTTAGCCTGAGGTAAAAAATCGTTGATTACCAGTATGTTTGACACCCAAGCTGACAAGTGAAGCCATATAATTATGCATGTTATTGATTTACAGGTGAAATATAACTTCAGGTAATGTCAGTTACACCAGATGTCTGTGATGATATGTTGGGCAGAAATTTTTCATTCATGAAAAATTTCATACACGGGATTTTTTTCTCTTCAACGGGAGGTCGGGAGGAGACCCCTGAAAACGTCGGGAGGTTCACATGTATGGTAACACGACGGGTGCCACATATGGAGCAGGAATTGCTTACCCTTCCGGAGCACCTGAGATCACCCCTGGTTTTTGGTAGGGTTCGTGTTGCTCAATCTTTAGTTTTTTATGTTGTACTTTGTGTACTATTGTTTGTGTATTGGTCTTTTTCTTTTTTAGCCATGGCGTGTCAGTTATTTTCGACTTATGAGTTTGAATGTCCCCCTGTTATCTTTCGCCTCACATTTTGAAAATTAACCCTTTTGTGGGAAACATTGGTTGATTATTTTGGGAATCATTGAAGCATGACTGGATCGGGCCCCCTCTTGATCCCTCTTTAGCAGTCAGTGGGACCAATCCCGGCCCCTTTATGATTTTTTTTCTGGATCCGCCACTGTCGTGTAAATATATAAATGAGCAGAGACCAATTTGAGTCCAATCGGTGAACATGTATAAAAAAGAAGATGTGGTATGATTGCCAATGAGACAACTCTCCACAAGAGACCAAATGACACAGAAATTAACAACAATAGGTCACCGTACGGCCTTCAACAATGATCAAAGCACATACCGCATAGTCAGCTATAAAAGGCCCCGAAATGACAAATGTAAAACAATTCAAACCAGAAAACTAACGGCCTAATTTATGTACAAAAAATGAACGAAAACAAATATGCACATCAACAAACGACAACCGCCGAATCACAGGCTCCTTACTTGGGACAGGCACATACATACAGAATGTGGCGGGGTTAAACATTTTAAATTAGCGGGATCCAAACCCTCTCCTAACCTGGGACAGTGGTGTAACAGTACAACATAAGAACGAACTATAAAAATCAGTTGAAAAAAGGCTTAACTCATCAGATGGATACAAATAGAAATACATCTAACAAAAACTCAGAGTGAACGATGCCGGGTACTTGTATATCCCAACAACAAAAAGACCCTTAGTACTGATCTGAGGGGACTAGCAGTTACTGACAGCTAGATCAAAGCCACTAACAAATAATAAAAAAAATAAATGTGGATAGTGTCCTCATGTGGACACAGATGATGCCCCCGCTTGCATATCTAATAGTTATAAAGGGACATAACTGAAGAACGGTAAAAGTGACGCTACCCAAATTTGAACTTGATCTGAGTTTTGTGGTAATAAGCATTGTGTGTAAGTCTCATAACACTTGGTTGAGGCTAACTAAAGTAGAGAACAGAAACTAAAAATTCAGCAATTTTTCTATTTGTAAACACGCATGACTCTAGAACGGTTATGTATAAGTTTTATAACATTTGGTTGAGACAAACTAAAGTTAGAGATCGGAAACGAAAAAATTCAGCAATTTTTATGTTTATAAAGGGACATAACTCAAGAATGGTAAAAGTGTCGCCACCAAATTTCGTACTTAATCTGTATTATGTAGTAATAAGCATTGTGTATAAGTTTCATAACATTTGGTTGAGGCAAACTAAAGTTAGAAAACGGAAACAAAAAATTTGTACTTGATCTTAGTTTTGTGGTAATGAATATTGTCAGAAGTCCATTACTGGACTTCTGATATTGTGTATAGGTTTCATAATGTTTGGTTGGGGCAAACTTAAGTTACAGAATGGAAACTAAAAATTTTGCAATCTTTCGATTTATAAAGGGGCATTACTCAATAATGGTTAAAGTGACACTACCAAATTCAACTTGATCTGTGT